TAATCTAATCACACACATTTAGATAGTTTAGGAATGCATGAATACATACTTGAGCTATAAAATTGTGAAATCTATAAAAGTTAGTACCGTACTACTATAGGATTCTCAATTTCTGACCATCCACGCTTCACGTTTTAGGCTACTTTATCTCTCACAAAATTTGGGGATAAGTTTAACTTGCTAATAAAATAATTAAGTAAAAATTATGAAATTTATAAAGATGAGAGATAAATTACTGTAACCACATATTTATTGTTTAAAATAAAAAAGACAAAGTTTATTATGATGACCAAAAAACGAAATTTATACTCCGTAACAATTTTGTGAGACAAAAGGAGTTTGATGACTTAGTTGTTTTTCTCATAAATAAAACACTAAGGTAATTTTATGAGGCGTACCCTTTTTTACATATCACACATACAATTCTCAAAATTATATCAACGTTTTGTGTTTTCCAGCAAATTGTCTGTATATCGAGGTGTTCATTTAGTAATACCTTAGTGTTACAATTCTTCTCTATAAAATTGTGGTGTCACATATGTTTATATATTATATGACCCCATTTTTCTTTTTCTTTCTTCAAAGGATACTCGGATCACTACTCTTAATAAATCACACTAGACAAGCTTTGTATGATCGACTCGACTGAGAAGGTTTTGGTGGCGGATTGAGCCCGTGACCTCTCATTCACTTTTTTTTTAGTCCCGGTAGGCAAACCACCTAAGTCGGTGGGGTAAATGCCGGGGAACATTTACCAGATATTATTAATAACCAAATAAAATACAATGGAAAGGGGGACTAGACCAAAACCTTTCCGAAGGAGGTACCTCCCAAGGATACATCATACCAGAACAGAAAAGAACAATAGCAATTGGGGGACCAAACCTTACCCAATTGAAAAGAAAAAACATTAAACAAGCCATCTAATAGAAGGAATGTTAAATAAATCTAAATTAAATTCAATACGAACTGGACCAGGCAGAAAGTCAACAGAAGTCCAAGAAGTAAATCGGGCCGGATGATAAGCTGCAAGATAATGGGCTGATCTATTACCTTCCCTGAAAATATGTCTGAAGTAAATCCCTTTCCTAAAACAAACTTGTCTGAACTCGATGATTTCATCAGACCTAGCCATGATGAATCCGCCTGAAAGTAAGCTAAGAGAAATCTCAGCATCAATCTCGACCTGAAATCCTCGATAGCCTTCATCAATTGCCCAACGGGTTGCCCTCAGAGCAGCAATAAGTTCCGCTTCCAAGGATGAAGAAGCAGCAATCGGAAATGCACAGGCGCATACCAACTCTCCTCTTTGGTTTCTCAAAATCGCTCCTCCTGAAGCCGAGCCAGGTAGAAAAGCCGCATCTACATTTAACTTTAATCCTCTGATTGAGCCAGGTAGACCTCTCATTCACTAGTGCACTTACTCTACCAATTCAATCACCCGTACTGTGGATGCATATATAACTCTCTAATAGAGTCATATGCAGCTTAGACCTGCACAAAAACGGGCTCGGGCCGGGCTTTTTATAATTTTTTTGCCCATCATGTGTGGGCGGGCCCGGCCCGGCCCGCAAAAACGGGCCTAACCTATGTCCATAATCGCCCGTAAGAGCGGACCGGGTAGTCCACCGGGCCTCCCGGCCCGGGAAAACTTTAAATTTTTCTAAATTATATCATTTTTTAATACTTTAAAAATAATATTACAACATTTAAATAATTGTTAAAACACTTATAATATTTATTTTTATGCCTTTCACCACATACAAAAATAATACTTACATAAAAATAATAATGAGAGACTATATCTAAAATTTAAATTTCAAGCAAAAAGTATTTATCTTTAAGTACAAAAATAGAAACTATATTAGTTGGGCTAGTTGTTAAGAACTAAAAACTTAAATTTAAATATAATAAACTATAAATTGCGGGCCGAAATGATTCGAAGCGTGAAAATATAAATTAGCGTACACACACACTAAATGTAGCGGGCCGGGCTTATCGGCCCGAACGGGCCTACACCCTAACCCAAGCCCGCCCATATGTTATTGTGGGCCGGGCTCGGGCCGGGCCGGTGGGTAAATATATATGCCCAAGCCCGTCCATTTGCGCGGGCCGGGCGGGCGGGCCTGGTTTTGTGCAGGTCTAATGCAGCTCTATAATTTTTTCTTTTGTGAAAAACGCAAGTAAAGCTAAAAACATTTCAACTTGGACATTCAAATTTAAATAGATTGAGAGAATAACGATTAAGTAAAGCACATACGAAGTACTATGATTTAACTTGATTTAGTTCAATTTGGTTTTATGACTTATCAAAAAAAATTCGCAAATTTTAACGATTCGAATCATTTCGGATATAAACTATAGTGACAATACTTTTGATTCGACTTCCGTTCAATTAAATTTGTTTCGGTCAAAGTGAAACAAAATGTCCATTTAAAGAGTAGCAAAGTATGAAAGTTCTTTCAAATTGAGAATTTTAATACCACGTAATAGAATTACAATGGGGATTGTTCAAAACATGCATAATACCTACTACCTCCGTCCCATATTGGTTGTCTACTTTCAATTCGGCACGATTATTAATAAAGTGGTTGAAAAGTAAAAGTTGTGATTGAAATTTGAATAGAATAAAGTGAAATAATGACCACATATTTCTTGCCAAAAAGAGAAACAAGACATTCATTTTGGGACAACCCAAAAAGGAAAGTAGAACAATCAAAATGGGACGGAAGTAATTTTGTGCAGGTCTAATGCAGCTCTATAATTTTTTCTTTTGTGAAAAACGCAAGTAAAGCTAAAGACATTTCAACTTGGACATTCAAATTTAAATAGATTGAGAGAATAACGATTAAGTAAAGCACATACGAAGTATTATGATTTAACTTGATTTAACTTGATTTAGTTCAATTTGGTTTTATGACTTTTATCAAAAAAAAAAAAAAATCGCAAATTTTCACGATTCGAATCATTTCGGATACAAACTATCATGACAATACTTTTGAATCGGTGCTTGTGTTCTCGTTGTAAATAATTGGTTGTCGCGAATTGAGAGAGAGGAGGGTTGTGGGGAAGCCTTGGCCGTCTGTCCTTTTCTTTTTTCAACCATTCTTGGTGTACACGTTTTTGTACCCATCAGTACACGCATGTGTCTGTGAGAGTTTTTTTTTGTCTGTGAAGCGCGGTCCACAGACATAAGTTCGCTTGTTTTGTCTGTGGAAAATTTCACAGACAAAACAAACCAGCTTTTGTCTGTGGACCGCACTTCACAGACAAAAAAAAAACTCTCACAGACACATGCGTGTACTGATGGGTACAAAAACGTGTACAAAAGGAATTTATGTTCTTTTTTTCCTTCAATTCTTTTGATTTCAATCATGAAAAGAATTGATTTAATCACTATTTTCAGTTCTATCTGCACGTTTATTTTCTAAGGATATGTTGTCTAAAGATGTCATTTTCGGTGATGAATTGTCACGACCGGATGTATATTCCCTGTCATCATCGATCAGGTATTCTTATGTCCTTATAATAAATATCTAACAACTGATGGTCCCCTCCTAATCTACCGCAGATCCAGGATGATGAAAGAATTGCATGGTTTGCTTTCTTTCCGGTGGTTGGTGAAATCAGAACAAATTCTTCACTTAATTCCTTATGATTGAGGCCATCTCCAACAGTTAACACCATTTTTTACACTAAAATGGTGTAAACATCACATCAAACAGTATTTTATCTCCAACAGTTTACACCATTTTCATCACCAAAAAGGAATATTCTCTTTTTATTCTTTTTACTAACTTTTTACCATTCTTCTATTTAAGCATCTAACTGTCATATATTTATACATTAGCCCCTCATTTAATATTTTGACATTTCACACATTATTTCACACATACAAACTAAAATACATCATTTTAATATGTATTTTCACGCATTTCACTAATTAAAATACAATAATCAATATTTCACAAATAAAAGCTAAAACCACTGTTTTGCTTAAGTCGGTTAAGAGCGACAATGAACAACTTATAGACATGTTGAAGAAATCGTCGTTAGATCGACAGGAACAATTGCAAATCCAACGACAAAATATGGCATACAAAGAACAGAAAAGAGAAGATAAAATTATGTTCATGGATTTGAATTCTATTCACGATCCACAAACGCGAGCGTATATCATTGCAGAAAGATCGAGAATTTTACAAAAAAAAATCTCAAGAAGGACCGGAGGATCATCAGCTGGATTTGGGAATCTGTTTGATGGTCTCGGAGGGTCTGGAAGCGGGTTGAATGACTACTAATTTCTAAATTAGTATGTACCATGTATGTTTTTAATTATGTTTTAATTTTAATTATAATGGTGTTATTAATTGTAATTTTAATTATGCTATTTCCTTAAGTACCATTTGTATTCTGTTATAATGTTGTTTGGATTTGAAACTTTATTTATAATATTGTGTGATTTAAATTTTATTATATTTTTTTCTATCAAATTAATAATTTTAATTTGTTGTTCTATAAGGATGTTTTTACTTGGATTGTAATTTGTCTCGAGATCATATCAGACCCGATTAGACCACACTTGGGTAGTTATAAAAATACAAAGAAATCAGACCAGACCACATCATTTCAGATCAGACCAGATCAAATCAGACCAGACCAGACCAGACCAGAGCGGACAAACTAATTTCAGTCCAAGTAAAACATCCTAATTTGTTGTTTTAAAAATGGGTCAAAACTATAATAATTAAAACTTAAAGGTCACATTTAAAAGGAAAAGAAATTAAAAAAGTTGGATGGTGTTAGATATGGCGTACGCCATATATGGCGTAAAGCCATCCCCTCCCCCATTTTGGTGTAATAGTGTAAAGTTTGATGTCATTGTTAGAACATTTTTTTACCAAATACATCATTTTGGTGTTGAAGATGGTGCTCGTTGTAGATGACGTGACAAAATCAGGAAATTTTAATAGTTTCGGTGACTGGTTAAACTGGAGTCCCCCGACCAATGCCGTCAGGTAAGTTACGCAAATGCCTACGTTTCTGTCTCTCTCCTCAGCTTTTATCCCTTTCTAAATTTCGGGGACCAAATAGATGGATGTGCACCTCACGGTGACGGTGGTTCATTTACCGGTCCCGTTTACCTTTAGTTAATCGACGGCGGCAACCCCTCCCATCTCCACCACCCGGCAGAAGAAGAACATAGTCTATAATGGAAGAACACATGTCCAACCATCACCGGCGTCAGTCGCTGACGACCAACACCCAATTTCCCACAACCGCCGCCACCGGCGGTACAAGCACCAACAAGCGGCGCCTGGGAGGAGACGGTGAGGATCAGGGGGAGTCGGCGGTGTGGAAGGCATTCGAGAGAAACTTCGAGGAGGTTCAGTCGGCGTTGGATCGGAACAGAGTATTGATTCAGCAGGTCAACGAGAATCATTGGTCAAGGATCCACGAGAATCTGGTGGAGAATGTGAGTCTAATCCAGGAGATCAACGCAAACATTTGCAAAGTCGTTTCTCTCTACTCTGGCTTCTCCGGCAATTTTGCCGGTGCGTTTAGTCAGCAGAACGGAGCCGCCGCCGATGGCCAGAACGGCGCCTATAAGTCTTTTCCATCAATATAGTGTTGCTTTTATTGTTATAGCATTAAATTGTTTGAAGTTCATTACTGATAGCTTTATTTTCCATTTTAGCAATGTTTTCCAACCTTTCCTATATACTCGTAAGTATTTTTTCTCTCATTCTTTTCCTCTTTTGTCTCTGCTTTACTATCCACGGAATTCTCGATTTATATCCTAATTTCTGGTTTGCTTTAAGATCACAAAAACAAAATGGAGAAACAAGGCGAATTAAATTCTAAACAAAAAAATTTAGGGCATGTTTGGTTCAAGAAATGTCTGATTACCATGAGAATATTAGATTATTGAGTATATTAGATAAATGGAAATGTAATTAATGTATAACCTACTTGTGTTTGGTTACGATTAAGGAAATGTCATACTCCGTATTAAGTTGTTTGGTTGAATGATATTTTATATGGCATATTTGGTGAATTACTTGAATGCCCTTTAAATATTTGTCTATTAACACATTAAACCTATTACAACCTAGAATTAAAGTAATTAAAACTATAGAAAAATAAAACATCTTAGTAATAATTAAAATGAAAAATAATTGAATTAATTCTAAGCAAAGTATATTTAATTGCACAAATGACTAAGATTAGTGAACATTGGTAAATAATTTTAAGCAAAAGATATTTAATTGCACAAATGATAAAGATTAGTGAACATCAGTAGCAAAAATACTTATATTATATTAGTCTCTTAATTCACTTTTCCTTTTTCATATGTAACATATTCTTTTGTTTTCAAACGAAAAAAGGTGGCATCTTTGCCTAGCTTCCTATAGTTCACAATCTTCCCACCATCTAAGATTTGTCTTCCCGGAATTAATCACCCTATCTTCACACATGTACCTAATTCACAATTTTCCTACCCTCAACGGAATCTTCTTACAGTTAACAATCTTCACAATCTGTGCTCCTTTAATCACCCAATTCACACGGAATTAGTCTAGGCGCATCGGAATTAGTTTAAGAATTAAAATCTTAGGTGATGAACAGAGCTGCGCTTGACGTTCAACTGAAGAAGAGAGTTGCGGTGATATGATATGTCGATTAATGAAGCATGGAGTTTTTGGAAGAAAATTAATAAGCCACCAGGAATCTAACAAAAAACAAGGAATGTAACATTCCCAAAAAAATCAAAACCGAATTGAAGAACCAAACACATGTATCTCACATTCTGGACATCAGATTCCGCCCTGTATAAAATATTACCTTGAACCAAACACTGCCTTAGACAAAAGGAATTCCGATAGAAATTTAAAATTAAATAATTACAAGAAACAAAAGGATGCTCACCCGTCTTGAATAAAAAACAAAAGATTAATTTCAAAAATAATGCTATTGATATGATACATATGAATACATTCACTATGAAAAAAATAGTACAACCCCTTCAGGAGTTAATTAGCGAATAATAATGTCTATCATCCTCTAATTACTTATATGAAACAACTTTTTCACTAAACTATCAACTTTTTGAAATCAAAAGTTTTATTATTACAAATTAGTATTTGATTGGTCAAACCAATATTACATCATTTAAATATATTTAGGTTATTCAATCATAGTATTGTAACTAGTGCAGAGCCCGGGGCAATGCCTCGACAGCATGCCAATTAATTATGAGTTAAAATGAAAAACACTACTAAAGAATTTGTACCTCATGAAGTGATAAAAATATTTTTTTATCTTGTTCCGTATCATTGCTTGGACTGTAATTTGCTGGTTTGGTCTGATTTCTTTGTATTTTTATAATAATTATCCAATTCTGATCTGGTTTGTTCTGGTCTGATCTAACTTGCTCTGGGAAGGATTGACGTCCAAGTATGCATTATCTTGTATGTATGCTCTGATGTCATAATTGTACGCGTACACATGTGTGGAAATAAATAATAATAATAAAAATCAAAAGTGATTAAGGATTCTACAATTTGTATGATTACGTGTGTACATTATTTTTTCTTGAGCTCTTTCCTCCTATTTTTTCTTTAGTTTGTTTCAACTTTTTCCTCCAACTATTTTCTCTCCTATTTTTTCTCACCCGTGTTTTCTAAATTAATGTTTTAATCAAATTTTGTTAACCAATAAGAGAAAGACACATCAGCGACTTATAACTGAGCTTTACTATATAAAACAACAGATTGATCCACATGAATACATCACGATACATGATGACACTATAGTTTGCCTAATCAAAATAAGATAATGTTCCAAATCAAATCTTTTTTTATAAATAATATACTCCCTCCGTCCCGCTAAGATTGTCCCATTTTACCTTTTCGGGAAGTTCCACTAAGATTGTCCCATACCTAATTTGGTAAAGATTGTGTGACTCCAAATCATTCTTACTTTATTCTTACTTTATCAATTTAATATCAACCACACAAATCCACTTTTCTTAATAATCATGCCACCTTCTCTCGTCCCAATCTTAGTGGGACGGAGGTAGTAGTTTTGAGATTATACTAAAAGTGATTAACAATAAAAGATGATAATATTTGAAAAAAAAAACAATTTAGAAACGGAAAAAATTAAATCATTTGGTGAAGAAATGTTTTTTTGGCTCTACAGAGTTAGATTATAGTCCGTACGTAGTAATTAGAAATACTCGTTTGGAAACCCATTTCACCAAATTAAATCATTTGGTGAAGAAATCTTATTTGCTTTTTAAAGCAATAGAAAACATTTCCTTGAATAAGTGTATCCTTCATACTCGTATTGCTTATCTTAAGGATTATTTTAATTTTTCATATAACTTGTTCTTTATTTATTTTTATAAAAAATATTTTGGATATAATTTTTTATAATTCAACAAATTTAACCATGTCACACACCGAATGAACAATTATTACTAAGGATGGCAATGGGGGCGGGGACCCGTGGGGAACCGCCCCGTGGCCGTGGGGGAAGGTTGGGGCGGGGCTTGGGGCGGGGTGGGGGCGGGGATGGGTGAAATATTTTTACGCCGTTAAAATATGGGGTGGAGGACGGATATTGGTACACCCGCCCCGTCCCCGCCCCGTCCCCGTTATAAATATATACTCAAACATATATATATATATATATATATATATATATATATATACACACACATATATAAATAATGTACACACACATTAAACTAAATTATTTGTAGTATATAACAAACGCATATACATATAGACATACATAATTGTATGCGGTTTATCATGGTTAATGAATTAATACATATTATACTAGAATAATAATAAGCTAGTGATGATTAAAAATATTTATCATACATGTTACTCCGTATATGAGTTTTAAGAGTGAGAAAGTGAGTAAATAAATACACAAACATTTATATGTAATATAATATGTAATTAATTGTATTATAATTGTTGAGAATTTTGAAACAACGTACATGATGATAATATGTTTACTTATATTTTTACTTTAATTGTTTTCAATTCACAAAACTTATTCAAATTGAAGAATTATTATAAATGGTGGTATTAACTTTTAACAAACACAATACTTCAGTGTTGTGTGTGTGTGTGTGTCATATATCACCGTGCGCGCGTAGATATATATATATATATATATATGCTTAGGATCAAATGAGAACAACGTTTGACACGAGAACGTGCGAACACCGCATTTACCCCCAATGTGAAGCACAATGGGCTCGCACAATGCACTTTTTTATATCTAGCACCATATTTACAAAAGTGTCACCGTGATTATTTATATTAGCTTGTATTGAGCGAAGTCCAAATGTGAACTAGAATGGCTTTATTGTGTGTCACATTGGATTATTGTGTAATATATTGGATTAAATGTGAGTGTTCCCACGTTAAGTATCGTTTTCATTGGAATCGCACTACATATGTTTATAATAAGATATTAAAAAGTATATGCAAATACGATAAATTAAATTTATATGGAGCACCCGGGGGGGACAATGGGGTGGGGCAGGGATGGGGCAGGTCTGGGAGTAACGAGGGATGTGCGGGGATGGGTGGAACTTTTTAGACATGGGGTGGGGGATGGGGGAGTGTACCCCGCCCCAAATCTGCCCCTAAGAGCATCTCCAATGGAAGGGTGCATTGCAACTGATGTGGCATAGGAGAGAGATAGAATAAATATTTGGATGAAGTGGTGTGTAGGAAAAAATGAAAAAGAGGAGAGAGATAGAGGTAAAAATGGACCAAGGTCTATGACAAGATCCATATATGGACCTTACACGGGATTCGATGAGGAAAAGTTGATGAAAAGTGAGTTAAAAGTGATATAAAAAAATGAAAAATGAAAACAAATTAGGAAATACGTGAGTCCTACACATAAAAATTGTGAGATAAAAAATGGAACTCATGCGTAAGGGGTGTCTAAAAGACCACACATGGAGATGCTCTAATTATTGCCACTATAACTTTTCCGTGAAATGGCTCTCAAACCAATAAAAGTGGTCGTAGGGGGTAATCGGTTCCCACTTCCCAGCTATTGAAAATTTAAAGATGTTTGTCAACTTTTAACAGTGGATCTTTATCATTTTTCAGCTATTCCGTAAAAGTTGAGGCCCGTTTGGCATGTGGATGCTTGACTGTAATGGTTATTGGCTGAATTTAAATAAAAGCATCTAATTAGTAAAATATATTTCACGCAAATGATAAACTGATCAAGTCCAAACTCCAAAGCTAAGGTCTTACAGTTTTAGGTTTTCCTTTTTCAAAACTACAAACTAAACTTTGGAAACCGTAAAAAGTTGTATTTCAACTTCCAAAAATAACATGATTAATACAAGTGTGATCATTTTTATAGTTCATTGTACAACATATATCATATACGGTGTATCATCTATATATATATATATATATTATATATATAATAACAAAATAGTGGGAAGGTAGTTTGGGCGGGAACATGGTAGCAATTTTTTATTTTGTTTATTTGTTTTTCGTTTGTAAGATGATGGCTGCATTAATAGTGTTATCGTAATACGTGCGTCCATTAGACATACAATAATTGTATGTCTCATCTTTGAAAATTATTGTTGTGTTTAATAAAAAATGAATGAGCCGCATTTTAGAAAGTTTGGCAATAAAGTCAGTTGGAATGAGAAGTGTTAACACATTAGATGGCAATATGCCTGCTGGAAATTAAATAAAAAACGTAGAGTAAGAGAAAACT